ATATATATACACGTGCTAACACCCCCGCGCCATGTGGTGGAGTCTGGACGGGACCCTCGGCGGGGCCCGACTGGAAGACCTGGCTTTAGTTGAAGTTCACGCGCGTCCTCGGCACGTCGTGACGCCTAGCCCTCGGCCTAGCTTCGCGCGCCGCCCAGCGTCCGCTCGAACCCCTCTTGTGCCACCGACACCGACACCAAAACCAGTAAGCAAAATGTGTAGTGCGTATGATCCTCAGAATCGGCATATAGGGTTTCAGCGCAGAACTTAAAAATATGACCCTGCTCCATCCCCTGCCATATCATTCACTGTGAAAAATACTCGTAAAGGGTTACAAGAGAATTTCCCAAGTTAAAAGTCGAAAAATTATAATTTGAAATTGTGAATTTATAAGCACTCCCTATCGACTTGGAATTGACCGACGAGCAAGAATATGCTGTCGTAAATTAGCGACTTATTTTGTCATTCAAAATTACAACAAATGTCGTAAATTTACGCGGATATTTTTCACAGTGTTGCTTTGAAAGCACGACAAGGAATAAGTATGTTTGTTTGCGTTTTTCAGAGACTGCATCGCGTTTTGACGCCATGTCCGCGCGGAGCGAGGATGACGTCGTTCGCCCACACGAACCTACCGCCGAATCGAAAAAGCAGCGCAAGAAGAGAGAGGAGGCGTTCGAGTGCAACGTGTGCAACAAGAGACTGGCGACGAGCGGCGGTAGGAGAGAGCACCTCAGGACCCACTCTGGGGAGAAGCCGTTCGAGTGTGTCGAATGCAACAAAAAGTTTTCGCAAAGCAGTCATTTGCGCACGCATCAGCGAACGCACACGGGGGAGAAGCCTTACGAGTGCACCGAGTGCGACTACAAGTGTTCAGACACTGGCGCTCTAGCCGTTCACCTCCGCACCCACACCGGAGAGAAGCCCTTCGACTGCACTGTGTGTGATAAGAAGTTTTCGCAAAGCGGCGATCTGCAAACGCACGTGCGCATTCACACAGGAGAGAAGCCCTTTGAATGTACCGAGTGCAGTAAGAAATTTGCTGATAAATATCAGCTGGCCATCCACAGCCGGAGCCACACCGGAGAGAAGCCTTACGGGTGCAACGAGTGCGGCTACAGGTGCACCACGAGTGGAAGTCTCAAGTCACACCTCCGCTCCCACACCGGGGAGAGGCCCTTCGGGTGTACGGTCTGCGACAAGAAATTCAGGGCCAGTGGAAACCTGCGCGCGCATCTCAGAACCCACACAGGAGAAAAGCCCTACGAGTGCTCTCTGTGCAACAGGAAATTTAGTGAAAGTGGGGCATTGCGAGGTCATCTCCGAACCCACACAGGAGAAAAGCCATTTCAGTGCGGTGTCTGCAGCAAGAGATTTACCACAAGAGTATACCTCCGAATACATGGACGTATCCACACAGGAGAGAAGCCGCACGCGTGCACGATGTGCGACAAGAAATTTGCACGAAGTGGCAGTATGCGAATGCATATCCGCCGTATCCACACCAGAGACAAGCCCTTCGAATGTTTTTTGTGCCACAGGAAATTTTCAGACAGGGGGCATCTGCGAACACACTGCCTTACACACACAGGAGAGAAGGCCTTTCAGTGTACGGTCTGCGACAAGAAGTTTGCGTACAGTGACAGTCTGAGAGCGCATCTCCGCAGCCACACCGGAGAGAGAGGGAAGACTTTCGAGTGCGCGTTGTGCGACAAGAAGTTTACGCAATCCAGCAATTTGCGTACTCACCTCAGAACCCACACGGGAGAACAGCATTATAAACACGAATGCTCTGTATGCAACAAGAAATTTCAGACCAGTTCGTGCCTACGCATACACATCCGCACCCACACAGGAGAGAAGCCCTTCGAGTGCGGTCTGTGTGAGAAGAGATTTAGTGAAAGTGGAAAACTGAAAACTCATCTACGAACCCACTCTGGGGAGAAGCCGTTCGAGTGTGTCGAATGCAACAAAAAGTTTTCGCAAAGCAGTCATTTGCGCACACATCAGCGAACGCACACGGGAGAGAGGCCTTACGAGTGCACCGAGTGCGACAAGAAGTATTCGAACACTGGCGCTCTAGCCGTTCACCTCCGCACCCACACCGGGGATAAGCCCTTCGAGTGCAGCGTGTGCAGCAAGAGATTCAGGCAACAGCCGCATCTCGACATGCATCTCCATATCCACACCGGAGAGAAACCTTTAGAGTGTTCTGTTTGCAACAAAAGATTTGCGCATTCTTGGACCCTAAGAGCACACGTTCTCCGAGTCCACGCAGACTCCTCGGGAAAGCAAGTCAAATGTACGGTTTGCGACGGGAAGTTTTGGACGGAGGGAGAGTTGCGTTCACACCTACGTACGCACACTGGGGAGAAGCCGTTCCAGTGTTCTGTCTGTCAGGACACATTTTCGCACTCCTCCGCGTTGCGAGCGCACCTCCGCCGCCACCACACGGGAGAGAAGCCCTTCGAGTGTCCAGTGTGTGGCAAGACATTTGCGTCCAGGCGTCTTCTTCAGACTCACGTCCGCATCCACGCAGGAGAAACGACGTTCGAACGCGAAGCCCGCGCCATGAAATGTTCACGTGGTGCCAGAGCGCGGTCAGATGTCCGCCCCGACGAGTTAGAAGGACCTTACAAGTGTACCGAGTGCGGACGGCTGTTTCTAGACGGCCGTCACTTGTTCGTTCACCTCCAAGAGCATTTGTCGTGCGAATAAAAGCAAATACTTGTAAAAAGTTTGAAAAGAAATAAATTTCAAATAACAGAAAAAGTGTCGATTTTGTTTGCTTTGTTTCAGTGGTGTC